GACAGAGTGAGACTCTATCGCAAAAAAAAAAAAAAAAAAAAAAAAAAAAGGAAAAAAAGAAGGGAAAAGAAAAAAGAATTGATGCAGCTGGGAATAGTAAAGGAGGGTTGGCCCATGAACCCATGAACCACTGACAATCCAGGAGTCTAGCAGAGGCTGGAATTGAGGAAGATTGTTAAGGCTGCATCCTGCAGAGCAAGAAAGAGTCCTGTGATCCTAATGCGATGGCGGCTGCAGAGCTGGAGGCAGGGCCCGGAGTAGCTCTATGGGTTCCAGATAGCTGTGATCCCAACAGGCTAACATCTGGACTTTGGTTTCCCTTACCCCACCCCGTAAAGGGGAAGCGCCCACCTTGCCCTACCTGCCCATGTCTGAAGGTGGGCAGCATGTCCCAGAGTCCCAGTCTAGATCCCTCTCTCCAGGAAGGGGAAGGCCCACCACTGCCCAGGGAAGCCTCAGATCCTTGGGAGATGAGGGGATGTCTAGGAATCCAAATTACTCAGTCAGCACAGCGAGCGCCTGGGAAGGTAGGGTTGGGGCAGCTGGCCGTCTGAAGCTCTGGGCAAGGGCACACATGGCTGTTTCCTCACTGGAGCAACAGAATGAGGGCTGGTCAGAGTGGCTGAACTGGTTTTAGGGGACTGTTTTTTCAGCTGGTGGGAAGGGGGTGGAAGTATGCACAGGCCTTTTTCCTGTGGCCTTGATGGGGACAGGAGATAGGAGAACAGCAGTTAGGACCCAGATGGGCCTGGGTTCTAGTCCTGGCTTCATTGTTTTTAGCACTTAACCCCTCTAAGCCTCAAATCCTCAGTTGCAAAGTGGAAAAAATTATAGTATCTTCCCAGCAGGATTCTGTCCTCACTAAATGAGCTAAAGGCACATAAAATGCTAAGCCCAACTCTTGACACATAGGAAGCCCTCCGTAAATCACAGCTGCTTTATGACGGTGACAGAGGCAGGGAACTCTACTCCGTTCCCAAACAAAGCTGGGCCTGGGCTGTGTGCAGGCTCCCCTTTTCCCGTCACTCTCCAGGCTTGTATGGAAAATGAAAATATTGTCTCGTGTGAATTTGGGAGCCAAGTTAAAGAATCCAGCCAGTGAACAGGGGCCACCTCCTCCCGCGAAAGCTGTTTCCCTAACCCCGAGGACGGGACGCCTTGTCTGACAGGGTGTTTACCTGGCTCTCCTACGTCCCTCCCCCTAACCCAGTGATGGCCTCAGTCCTGGGTCAGCTTTTCTGTTCTAGAAGACCAATTGAAGCCCCCCCTCTTCCTGCATAATCCCAACCATGATCACTGAGGTATCCACAGATACACATGGTGGGAATAGGGAGCTGGCACCCCAGATTCACATCCAGACCTCAGCTCCCTGAGCCCGGCTTTCCTCTTCTGCCAAGTGATGCCTGGCAGAATGACAGGAAGAGCCAGTTAGGTAACGTGTGTAAAAGCCCCGGCGAGGGGTGTCTGACATACAGCAGCCCTAGTACCGCTTCTCTCCACTAGCACTTGGGTAGAGCCAGAGCATCTCCCATCACCCATTAGAATAAACATATGAGGAGGTCTGATATTCTGTCCATTCACTGCAGTATCCTCACTGCCTAGAACAGTGCCTGGCACATGCAACATTCCTCCTTAGAAAGCATTTCCAGACACTTCCAAAAGGCAGTACCACCCCAGTGGAGAACCCCTGTTCCAGACATACCTTCCACAACACCCTTGATGGATGCTGGCTACCCCGGTCTAAATACTTTGCATTATCAGAAATTGATTACAACAAGGAGTAGCCCTTTGTAGACTCATTATCCAAAACAGCCACCCCATCTCTCCTTTGACTTTTGGCCTGTTGGATAGCATATCATGTGAAGTCTGACACCCGAATGAAACAAGGTGCCCCATATGTGGCCTGACCCTGCAAGGAACAGTGGGCTTGTTACTTCCCAGCCCTGGATAGACCTGGAGTTGACATAGCCTGAGATTACATTTACTTTTCTTGTGACAGCCATCCTAGTGTTTGTTGATTCATGGTCAGCTAATATCCAGGGACTTTTCCCTTCAGTCCTTTACCAGTCTTTTCCAATCCAAAGTGTAAGACTTAAACATTTAAGCAGATACTTGTATGTTGTTGATTTTGGCCCCTATATCCAGCCAGATGATTTTGAATCTTGATACTGCCATTGCTGTGTGTTAGCTATCTTCCCATCCCATCCTTATCCCCAATTTTGCATCCACGGCACATTGGATTGGTAAGCCATCTCTGTCCTCATTGTGCTGTGGTTTAAAATATTGAAGAAAGCCAGGCCTTAAGCATGATGGTGGAGACAGTCTGGGTTGATAATGATCAATACCTCCCGGGGTTGTTTGTCTGCCTTTGAATGGACCCAATTAATCCTGGCTCCACTGACATTGCTGTGTCTTGTCCACATGAGTTTCTTTAAGCCCATCTGTTAGCCGCCTTGCTGATATCTAGATGGATTCCATTCCACAGAACTTCAAGGCTTTGCAACCCCTTTGAAAAGGAGATGCACTTAGCTGAGCATGACTTGTTCTGGGCGAATCTGTGCTAGTTTCTAGTGCCCACCACTTCCTCTTCTGCATGTTCCAGACATTCTCCTCTCCCCATTTTGAGGTTTGCAAGAGTTCAGGTTTGTTTTCTGAATTTCTAGAATCCACCTTTTTCCTTTTTGTGAAAAATGGGAACAGCTTGTCTTCCAACATCTTTCCTGTTCCCCATGATCCCATGGGGGATGACCAGAGGTGGTGCTGCAGACTCACCTTTGGTCAGTGATTCAATTATCATTTCAAGATGTTCTTGTACGTTCTTATATACTGTTTTCTTGTAGGCCAGTCCCGCTGAAGATCGATATCTGAGATAACAAAGGTAGATGCCAAAGGAGAGCTGAGTGGTTCCGCTTTCTCTGCCATCTGTTTAACATTAACGTGACCCTGGTACTTCCTCATTCTCTTGCTCCAAACAGATTTGATGTTTTCGGAAACCCATTGGATGGTCCTTAGTATTTGTTTTAGCTCTGCTTTTGGCCTGTTAGTATCTGAATGTCCTTTAGCCATTTCACATTGAAATGGTCTGGTCAGCTAGACAGAGAGCTCTCTGAGGGTAGGGGCTGCCTTGGCCAGAGTTGGATGTGATGGTCCCCACTTTCCACTTTGATGCTGCACAGCCTTCCCAGCCTTGGAGATGCTATGAAATGCCAGAGGAGGCAGGGCAGTGAGCAGTGTGGTTTGATGGTCTGACAGACAAACATGCCGTCATGGAACATTCTTTGCAGAGTGTGCAGATCCACTTACACAGGCCAGCTGCTGCTCTGCAAATTGCACATTCCTTCAGAACAACCCACCCATACCCTTTTTTCCCACCAAACCTCAATCATGCCCTGGGTAGGTTAGAAACAAGGTTTTTCTGTCTCCCTCTGTTTCTATCCCTCACTCTTCTGTCTCTTCTTTCTCAGTCCTTGGTTTTTATAGGGAATTTGGTTGAATGCCTAGCTTCTGGTCTGGATGGCCTACCCATCTTCAGCCCTTCCATGGGGGGGTCCTGAGCCCCACGGAGCCCCAGATTTAGAGCCTCTTCTTAGGCGGCTTCTGGAGTCCAGGCCCTGCCAGCTGATAAAGCCCCATAGATAGGTTGAGGCCAGTAGTGATGGCAGAGTTAGGGCCTCGTCAGATGGAAACAGGTTTGCCGCTGTCAGTATTGCAGGAGTAGATAAGTTCCCCACACCTCTGCCCCACCGCCCCCTGCAGTCTCCAGGGGGACATCCCATCCCCAGGTGGCCTCTCACTTGCTATCCACAGTTACTGGAAGCTCTTTGGGGATTGATAGCACAATTATGAGTCACCCTGAAATGTACTCACCTTCTGATCTGTCCCTTCCCAGAGAGTTGCTCAGTCCAGGGTAGAGAGAGAAAGGGCTACAGGGAAGGGAGGGAAGTGAGAGCCGGTAGGGAAGAGGGTAGAGTCCTAGGCTGGCGGAAAGGAGGACCTGCTGATTTGCATGCCCTCTGAGGACAAGTCAACAGGGCACTGAGCTGACCTCAGCAGGTATCCTACAGTGGGCTGAAGGGTATATGGGAGGCCCCTCCCCAGCCAACCCCAAACAAGGACCTGGTCTCTGCAGATAGAACACCCTCCATGGAGGGCTGGGTGGGGCACAGGGGACCTCCTTGTGTGTGTCTGCCTCACATATGCTTTTTTTGGGAGGCAGAATAATCTAGTGCAGTGGTTCTCAAAGTGTGGTCCCTGTCCATAGCATTACCTGGGAACGTGTTTAGAAGTGTTCCTTCTTGACCTCCTAAATAAGAAACTCGGGGTAATAGGGGCCAGCAGTCTGTTGAACAAGATTTCCAGGTGATCCTGGTGCATGCTAGTAAGTGGGAGAATCATTGACTCAGTGAAAGAATGAACTCTGGAGCCAGATTGCCTGGGTTCATATCTTTACCTTGGGCAAAGCAGGTAACCTCTCTGATTCTCTATACAATGTTTCATCTGTAACATGGAGACACTGCCACCTTCTTATTGTGATGATTTAATGAGAATGCTTACAAGGAGTTTCGTGCAGTTCTGTCAGTCAGCATCTGTTAAGTGTGGCTTCAGCTCTGACCTTTACTGTTTCTCATTTTAGGTGGTATCTGATGCTGCAGGACAGGGTGTGGCCATCACAGGGAACCAGACCTTCAACAACTGGAACTGGCCCAATGCAATGATTTTTGCTGCGACTGTCATCACCACCATTGGTAAGTCTTCTGGGACCTGTAGGACACATACATCCATGTCCTAGCTCCTCAGAACCTTTCTAGAAACCCAACTCTGGTCACTCAGCCCTATTGGGGCTATAATCAGGCCAGTTGCAGGCTATTCTTTTGATACTTTCTTAGGGATTTAGTAAGTCCTTGGTAGCTGATCATGCCTGGAAAGGTTTCCATGAGTCTCAACCTGGGCTCTTTGAGCAGAAACAGCGACACAGCCTCATGGCCAGAGCCATGCAAGAGATTAACCAGATTGCTCATTGCAGAAACCCAGATCATGACTACTTACTAAGCTGGGTGTCTGTTTCAGTTCTCAGGCTGCATAGCCAACCAGTCCAGAAGTTTGGCTCAAAATGCAGCTTCTTCTCTTTCACCATTCTGTGAGCTTCACTGGGCTCAGCTGGCCGGTTCTTGCTTGGGCTCCCAATGCAGTGGCAGTCAAACAATGGCTGGGCTGGAGTCTTCTGAAAGCCAAACTCATCTGATGGCCCAGGTGGCTCCTCCCATCACAGGTTTGACAGCTGATGCTGGCTGTTGGCTGGGAGCTCAGCTGGGGATGAAAACACAAGGCCTCTGCATGTGTTTTCTACCTGCATGTGGGAACCAAGGCGAAAAGCAGCAGGCTTCTTAGACCTCACCTGTCCAGCGTCACTTCCGCTGCCTAGACTGCTTCTGTTGTGAAGCCACTAAAGCTCAGATTCCAAGGGAAGAGGATTAGACAACACGTTGGTGTGAGCAGTTGCATAAGAAGGGAGGGAATTGAGGATGGCTATCTTTGGAGACCATCTACCACAGTGCTTCTGGGGAATCTACACAGACAGCATGTCTTGTAACTTGCACAATGGTACCATATGGACTAATGGAAGACCTGTTGACCAGGCTTAGTCCCTGCCTTCAGGGAGCTCCTTGTATGATGGAGGAGATACAGCTCATGTCATCATAATTGCTTTATCAATGATCATGATCAGAGTATGATCAAGGGAAATGTCATTACTTAAGTACTGATAATAGATCAGTATCAGTTTATCTTAGAGAATGGGCTGTGTGTGTGTTGGAAGCAAGGCCCACTGGTTCAACCACCCCTCCTGTTCTTGGCCTCACTCTCTCCTTCCTCAGGATATGGCAATGTGGCTCCCAAGACCCCTGCTGGTCGCCTCTTCTGTGTCTTCTATGGTCTCTTCGGGGTGCCGCTCTGCCTGACGTGGATCAGTGCCCTGGGCAAGTTCTTCGGGGGACGCGCCAAGAGACTAGGGCAGTTCCTTACCAAGAGAGGCGTGAGTCTGGTATGTCCCCTACCCTGGGTGTTGGGCAGAGATGGGGGAACCATGGCAGGTGAGGGGAGGACAGGAAGGCTCCAGGAATTGGACCAGGGATGTAAGGACAGATGGCAAGAGGGTAGTTTCACAGCTCCTTGCCCTCCTGGGTCAGGCTGGGTACCCAGCTAGCCTCTCTTCTAGCTGACTCCCTAGCCCTCCGGGTGCCTTTGCTGGGTTTCCAAGTCTCCAAGTCTCCACTGTTGTCTGACTTGGCCTTCTGCTCCCCATCAGCGGAAGGCGCAGATCACGTGCACAGTCATCTTCATCGTGTGGGGCGTCCTGGTCCACCTGGTGATCCCACCCTTCGTGTTCATGGTGACCGAGGGGTGGAACTACATCGAGGGCCTCTACTACTCCTTCATCACCATCTCCACCATTGGCTTCGGTGACTTTGTGGCCGGTGAGTCCCTGCCTCAGCCTCCCACCTCTTTTTCTGCTTCTTTGGTTTCAGCGCAGCAGACCTATGTTGGGGGTGCCCGTGGTAGGGTTCCATGTTCTGGGCATTTCTCTTACCCAGTGGGATTGTCAACCCACTCTGCCAGTTGCAATAGGAAACCAAGACCCGGAGTAATGGCAGAAGACTCTTTTCTCTCTGGTTCCCTTTCTCAGACATGACTTTTTTCTTCCTCCTTTCCTCTCTGCTCAGTCTCTGATCTCCTCTCCCTCTGTTCTCCCATGACTCCTGAGCTTGGCTTCATGGAGGGCTTGCAAGTAGGGCCTTCTGCCTGCATGGTTGATACCTGTTACCCAGGGAGCCCCTGAGCTCACCAGCACCCCCTCCACGCCCTCAGCAGCCTTTCATCTTTCACAAGAGCTGAGGGAGCTGTCCTGGAGGCATGGCTCAGAGGCCTGGGGCTTTGTTCCTGCTATAGCAAGCTTAAAGACAAGGGAGGCCTTCTCCCCAGCTGCCCTGCCCCCAGCCCTGACACTCCCTCCTACTCCTCCCCTGCTTAATCCAGGGAAGTGATGAGGTTCTTTGGCCCCTTTGTCTGAGGGCCTGTCACCAGCTGGCCCCAGCCATGCACAAATTTGTGTTTGTGGCCTGCACAGCATCTTGGTTCTTAATCTTCTTGACACCCTGTTTGACCCTGTTGACCCAGCGACCTCAACTTCTGCTCCAGAGACCTCTGTTCTCTACCCCCTCCCTTTTGCCCAGAGGGCAGTGGGAGACCACTAGCCTTGTACTTGATGTATGTGGCATCTGGGAGCAGTTGGCTGAGTTGGGGGAGGAACAGGAAAGAGAGGCACAAACACTCCCCTGACCCTAGCAAATCTGGGCCTGCTGTCCCGGGCAGTACATTTGGACAAGGCACAACCCTGCCATTGTCCAGCCCTTGAGGCCCAGAGCAGGCTAAGGAGATGCCTCTGGTATTAGGGAAGTACAGATGTACATTTAGCCATACTTTCTCAGCACCAGCAAGACACCAAACCCTGCCTCAGCTTTCTCATCTGTAAAATTAGTAAAAATAATAACTATTCATGAGTGTTGAGGGTAGGGCCTGGCTATATCAGTGTGTGCCCCCATTACTGTCATCATGAAACTGTGCTTGTGATTGAGAGCCTTGAGCAGGATTAACAGAACCACTCAGGGCACCTGCTATCTGAGCCCGGTCAGAGGAGGAGAACCGACCCGGTGACAGCACCTAGAAGAACCTCTAGTCTGATGAAAGAGGTAGCCCCCTTCCTCCAGGACCCTTCTGTAAGTTGCTCTTGTATCTAGTCGAGGGGGCAAATGGAATATGGGTCAACATGCCTGTACATGTAGTCGTAAAAGACATTTCAAATAATCCTGGAGTGTAGAAGAACCTTCAGAGCTGTAGAGGGTAATCCAGGAAGGCTCCCTGCAACAGGAGGGGGATGTGGAGCAGACAGAGCCCTCCTCCAGGTCAAGGGAGAGCTGATTTGAGGAAGCCAGAAGGAGGAAGTCAGGAAGGCAGACCAGACCTTCAAGGAAAATAAAAATGGTTCAATGGTTCAAAGTATTTCCTGCCAGGGTAGGTGCTTCCTGGGTCATCCTCACCTAGTCACCAGCCTTGTTTGTAATCCACCAGTGTGAGTCTAGCCCCAGCTTGGAGGGTGCTGGGGGCTCCCTTGTGTAATATCCATCTTTTCAGTTTTTAAGTGAACTGTACCATATACACAGAACAGCTGGGGATGGTAGAAGAATCAACAGAAAGGCAAATAAATACTCATGAACTATTTCTTGACCTGTGTGTTGGTTACATTGCCAGTCCCCCAAAACCCCTTTAGCTTCCTTCAAAGAGTCACTGTCTTGACTTTTTTTTTTTTTTTTTTTTGAGACGGAGTCTGTGTCTGCTGCCCAGGCTAGAGTGGCAGTGGTGTGATCTTGGCTCACTGCAACCTCCGCCTCCCAGGTTCAAGCCTCCTGAGTAGCTGGGATTACAGGTGCCTGCCACCATACCCAGCTAATTGTTGTATTGTTAGTGGAGACGGGGTTTCACCATGTTGGTCAGGCTGGTCTCGAACTCCTGACCTCAAGTGATCCACCTGCCTTGACCTCCCAAAGTGCTGGGATTGCAGACATGAGCCACCGTGCCTGGCCTGTCTTGACTTTTTGTAGTTGAGGAAACCGAGACTCAGAGACAGGCTGGATACTGGTTTGGGGTCATGAATGACGGTGGGCCCAAGCCCTTCGGGAAGATGGGATAGTCCAGGGTCTAGAACAGGCCCCTTTCTATCCCACTGCACCCCTATCCTGTGCTCTGGCCTGACTCCTGCTCAGATCACACAGCATTGGCCATTGCACATTTCCCGGGCCCTGCTAACTCTCTGACCTCTGGACTGCCTGTCTGTTCAGGTGTGAACCCCAGCGCCAACTACCACGCCCTGTACCGCTACTTCGTGGAGCTCTGGATCTACTTGGGGCTGGCCTGGCTGTCCCTTTTTGTCAACTGGAAGGTGAGCATGTTTGTGGAAGTCCATAAAGCCATTAAGAAGCGGCGGCGACGACGAAAGGAGTCCTTTGAGAGCTCCCCACATTCCCGGAAGGCCTTGCAAGTGAAGGGAAGCGCAGCCTCCAAGGACGTCAACATCTTCAGCTTTCTTTCCAAGAAGGAAGAGACCTACAACGACCTCATCAAGCAGATCGGAAAGAAGGCCATGAAGACAAGCGGGGGTGGGGAGACGGGCCCCGGCCCAGGGCTGGGGCCTCAAGGCGGTGGGCTCCCAGCACTGCCCCCTTCCCTGGCGCCCCTGGTGGTCTACTCCAAGAACCGGGTGCCCACCTTGGAAGAGTTGTCACAGACACTGAGGAACAAAGGCCACGTATCAAGGCCCCCAGATGAGGAGGCCATGGCACGAGCCCCTGAAGACAGCTCCCCTGCCCCCGAGGTGTTCATGAACCAGCTGGACCGCATCAGCGAGGAATGCGAGCCATGGGACGCCCAGGACTACCACCCACTCATCTTCCAGGACGCCAGCATCACCTTCGTGAACGCGGAGGCTGGCCTCTCGGACGAGGAGACCTCTAAGTCCTCGCTAGAGGACAACTTGGCAGGGGAGGAGAGCCCCCAGCAGGGGGCTGAAGCCAAGGCACCCCTGAACATGGGCGAGTTCCCCTCCTCCGACGAGTCCACCTTCACCAGCACTGAGTCTGAGCTCTCCGTGCCTTACGAACAGCTAATGAATGAGTACAATAAGGCTAACAGCCCCAAGGGCACGTGAGGCGGGGCCGGCTCCCCACCCCACCTTTGACGGCCTCTTCCCCCCTCACCCTGGGGTGTCCCGAGATGGCCAGAACCCCTGGCCCTGGTTGGGGGGCAGCCTTGGAACTGGGAGTGGGGGCCAGGGGCATTCCTAACCTTCCATCATTCCCAGCTGGGTGCATGCCCAGGACAGGGCCTCTGTTATCCAGCTGATCCACACCCTGGCTGTGGGGGCGTCTGTCCTGAGCTTGGCTGGTGTATCTCACAATGCAAAGACATGCAGGCTGGTGGGACAGGTGGGCGGGACTGACCCTGAGGAGGCCTTGCCTGCATGGTCTTCACTCCACCATTTGCTGGAGTGTCACACGGTTCTCTGAGGCCCAGGGCCTCAGCTGTTTAAGTTTACCGGCATTATTGAGCTCGGCATTTGGAGCGGGAGCTCTGAAGTGTCTGGGGAGGTACCGCTGTGTGTGGGGTCAGGTGTTTCCGTGCTTTCTGTACCTCCGCAGGAGCACCCCCATCCCAGCTGTGGGCCTGCCGGTCAGGTGGGGCACCTACTACAAACTGTAGTGGGGTGGAGGCTGCTGGAGGTAGGAGTGAGGAGATGCAGGCAGGGGCTCAAACAGTCCTGACTCACAGGACCTGGAAACAAGTCCCATGTGGGCCTGGGGCCTGGGGTCCTCATCCTGCTTGTTGGTCTACTCAGGCCCAGCCCAAAGCCGTGTTCCCTGTCTCAGGTCAAGCAGTGGCAGACTCAAGGCTTTCTGTGGGCCCCTGAGTGGTAGGAGGGAGAGTGGCAGGGTTACTGGAAGCCGGGACTGCTAGGGCTGGTGGCCAGGGAGCTGCAAGAGTGAGGCTCAGCTCTGGCTGGTTCTGCCCTGACCCCTCCTGCCCGCCGGAGAACTGCACACCCCGCCCCCTGGCCTGAGGAGCTGCACTCCCCATCCTGCTGTCTTCTCCTTCCCTGTGCCCTGAACAAGGACCTCACTGCCCACTTCCCCCTCCCACCAGCCCCCTTGGGCCAGGCAGGGTGAGGCCAAATTGCTGTTGGCCCACAAATGGGCGATGGTCAAATATGTGAATCAAGCTCCTCTCTCTAGCTACTGTTTGATGTGCATGTGTGTGTGTGCGGTGCGTGTGTGCGTGCGCACGCACGCCTGTGCACCCGTGTGTGTGTTTAAGGAAAGGAAAGGATTTGGGCTGGGGAGCAAAAGGTAATGTGAAAACTGTTGGACTCTCTGGTGAGGGTGGGCGGGACTTGCTGCTACTGGAGTTCTTGGCTTCTCCATGATGTTCCCCCTGGGGCTGGCCCACTGTGTCCTGAATGTTTTTGTTATTTTTTGTTTTATGTTTTTAAACTGCTGTTTTTATATACCTGGAATCTGTTGTTGGCTGCAGAGCCAGCGGTTAAAGAGCAGGGTCGTCAGGATTGGGAGGTCCAGTGTCTGCCCTCCTGCCGTGCAACTCAAGTTGGGCCTTTCTTGGTGACGTCATCCAAGGCCATGATGTCAAGGGCCATGTCCCCAAGCAGAGGTGGAGAAGGGACACTGAGGTGAGCAAAGGCAGGAAGGGGCATCCACTGCAGGTGACTGGAGGCCGGGCAGGAGGCAAGTCATCAGAGCCGCCCAGCCGCCTTCACTCTCTGCCCTCTGCCCCACTACGGTGGGGTGGTGAGGCCAGAGCCCACCTCCCCAACATGTGAAGACCGTGATGGGCATGTGCCCACACTCCCACTTCTCCAGCCGTTTGCAGAGGCTGCTGCCCGGCAGGGGCCTGAAAAGGAACAGCCTCGTATTTTTCTGTGAAATGTTTTAATGAACTCATGTTGTTGCTGGTTGTCCTGGCATTGCACACACTGTATGTACATACTGGCAATATTGTCAAATGTAATTTATTTTAACATTTTTACAATAAAACATGAGGTGGACAGGCCAGCTCGGTGCGTGCTGTGTCGGGGGCAGGTTAGAGAGGGGTCGGCTTCTGGCATCTGAGCAGCAGGGGAGCCTGGGCGCATCCACAGAGGATAAGGAGGACTCAGGACTGACTGATAAGAGGATTGGATGGTCTGGAGGGGAGAAAAGAATGAAAAGGGGTGAAGAGAACAGGCAGAGGCAGGCCTCTGTGGGGAGGTAAGGATGCGGGAGGAACATTGCAGTAGAGGTTTGAGAATCAGGAAGGAGTCGGAGGAGCAAGGGGAGAGGCAGGAGTGATCATGGCAAACGCATGTCACTCACCACTTTGTCAGGCACTAAATGCTTGCACTAAATAATGTGTGAGTGGACTCATTTGACCTGGCAAGAGCACTGAGGGGGGCAGTACCTCTCCATTTTATAAACGACGAAACAGGCACAGAGAGGTTGCGTTGTGCAAAAATCTCAGTGAAAATGGTGAACCTAGATTCAAACCCAGGCAGCCCAACTCCTGTCCCCTCCACCACCGTGATGAGATGAAAGAGACTACCTGTGGTTTTGTGGCACACCCAGCATCTCTGGAAAGGGCTCCTGTCTCCAGGTAGGTGGACCAGAGAACTTTAGCGAAGCTCAGGCCTTCTCAACTCAAGGGGTGGGCAGGAGATGTAGACCCTGAGCGTGGGCACTGTGGAGTGGGAAGAATGTGAAGGAAGAATGGAGCCAGGCTCAGCTGGGCATCTGTCTCCATCTGTCTAAAGGGAGGCTTTGTCAGGCTTCAACTGTTTGGGGACTGGCCCCTTCTATGACCGTTCAGGGCTCAGCACCACACAGGATGATTTCTGAGTTCATTGGAAAAAAATAAAAGGCTTTCAGGAGCGAACCACATTTTTCATGAGGGCATGGATGTGTTTACAAAGGATTATATGTATTTACCAGCCAATTCTGTGATGACACCATCCCTCCCTCTGCCAACATCACTCCCTCTTGCCCTCTCTCTGCTCCCCACAACCCATCTCCTGCCCCCATCACAAGACAGGTCCAAGGTTCTCTGGTTTTGCTTTAATCACATTCAGCCTCAAGGCAATAACAGTTCCATAACACTGTAAGCCCCACCTTTATTCAGCACTTGGCCTGTTCACAAACCCCATTGACAAACAGAGCCCAGGTTATTTGGCCCATCTACAGTTGAGACGAGAGCTTAGGGAGCATGACTGCCGAAGGGCGCTGGACCGAGGCACAGCTTTGCAGAGCTGTGCTTACAGATGGTAAAGCACAGACCCAAGACTGGGTGGAGGTGTGGCCTTGGGTTACTGTGGCCAGGGTTAGGAGCTTTCTGAGTAAGAGGTGGGAGGTGGGTCAACAGCTAAAGCAAAGGGTGGGGCCCAGGAGGCCTCGAGTTCCCCAGGGGTCATGAGCAGGGGAGGAGTGCCATGTGGAGGCATGGGGAACATCCCATCACAGTCTGGGGAGCTATAGGGTGGATGGGAGTGGGGGCAGTGGAGGAGGCTGGCGAGTGGGTCCCAGATGGGTGGGAAGTCACTGGAGATGACACTAGCAGGGAAAGCCTTCTGTTGAAGTCATTGATGTTTTGTTGTTGTTACTGTTGTTTGAGACCGAGTTTCACTCTTGCCCAGGCTGGAGCGCAGTGGCATGATCTCAGCTCACTGCAGCCTCTGCCTCCCGGGTTCAAGTGATTCTCTTGCCTCAGCTTCCCAAGTAGCTGGGACTACAAGTGTGGGCCCCCACACCCGGCTAAATTTTGTGTTTTTAAATAGAGGCAGGGTTTCACTATGTTGGCCAGGCTAGTCTTGAACACCTGACCTCAGGTGATCCGCCCGCCTCGGCCTCCCAAAGTGCTGGGATTACAGGCATGAGCCACCATGCCTGGCCGTCATTGCTGTATTTCTAATGCAGGGCAGGGAGAATTGGATTGGTGAGATCTGCCGACTTGCTGGGGTCCTTGTGGGGGCAGCACTCCTCCTTCCACAGGCTCCATTCCCAGCAGGCTTCTCCGCTGTCCTAGTAAACCAGCACTAGCTCTCCACCAGCACCACCTGGACTCTCCATCATTTGTTCCACTAATGTTTACTGAGCACCTACTATGTACCATTATCCTCATTTTACAATGAGGACATTGAGGCAAATATAGGATTTTTTCCAAGCTGAAACAACTATTAACTGGCAGCAAAGCAGCTTCCCTGACTTGCATTCTCATTCCTCGTTCTACCCTCTAAGTTTCTGATCTGACGGGAGACATCCTCAGAGAACCCAGAGTCTGATGGAGGTGGGAGACAGCGTCTCCCTTCAAGGAGCCTAATCTGAGGGGGAGGAGAGCACAGAAGGACCCTGGGGTCCCAGCTGGGCCTCTTATCTCCTCCATGATCCTGGAGGAGGCATTTAGCTCCCTGCCAGAGGTGATGAAGAGAAACCAGGATGTTTGGGTTTCACCTCCCGACTGGAAAGGACCAGGCAAGATCATCATCAGCCATGACTGCATCTGAAGCTCTCACAAGCCTGGGGTAGAGTGGCGGGGAAGGACAGCCAGGCTGGGTTGCACAGCTCTGGGTGGGGCCTCCAGAAATGAGGCCCCTGAGGTTTGATCTCAGCTCTGCCATTCATCTCTCCATTCTTGAAATAATAGGTTCCCAGTTTCCAAATACATGCACAACTGGTCCAGGAACCAATGACAACTCGTGAATTGCCAGGATGTGTTTAACAGTGAAAACCCCTCCCTAAAATCTCTGTCCCGTCTATCCATCGTGGCCCCATCACCAGGGTCCAGGCCACCCGGCCCCTCACCTGAATCCCCCACAACAGCATGGGGCCTGGCACCTGGTAGGGGGTCCAAAGATACTTGTTGAATGAATGAATGAGCCCCATCAGCTGGATTCCCTGTCTCTAATACTGACTCCCTTTCACCTGGCCATTACTGGCGCCAGCAGCCTAAACTCAAACCGGGCCCGTTTCTCTTCTGTTTTAAACTCAGGGGCTCCCCATTGCTCTTCCACCCCCCACCTCTCTCTCCAGCCTCCTGTCACTCCTTTCCCACCTCTCTGGGCTCCAGCCACTTTGCCCTTGCTGTTTCCTCTGCCCTGATGCCCTTCCTCTCTCCTGGGTAAGTCCTGAGACCTAGTGGGATTAGATATGGACGTCAGCTTCTCTGGCAAGACTTCCACAACTACCTGTAGCCCTCCCGGATTCTGAGCCAGGTGCTCCTCCTCTGTGCTCCAGAGGCCCTCCCTCAGCAAGCTGCCTCTGTCCCATCGAGCTGCTCCGATGTTTTTCCAGCTCCCTGCCTCCTGGTCTCATGCCTCCTCCCCTGACTGGGAGCCACTAAAGGGCACAGGGAGTAGTTTGTTCACCTTCAGATTCCCGGGAGCCCAGAGTGCAGAGGGGCCCAGCTTTTCCATGTTTACTAAATGGAGGGTAAATGAACTAGAGTCCTGGCCCCTCCCACTGGTAATTCAATCCCTCTCTTCCTGAGGCAGAGGCCAAATCAGGGAGCAAGGCTTGCTCCAGGAGGGCGAGTCCCCACAAGGCCAGGTGGATGATCTTGAGGGCCCTTGTCACAGGCTGAGTTGGCCTGGTGAGTCACCTTATCTTGTGCCAAGTCACCTGAATCTGCAGGGCAGGACTGGAATACAGCACACCTTATTTCTCCCCACCCCAGGGAGCACTGTCATTAGCACCCCCTTTTCCAGTTGCCCCACCTCCCCATCTTCACCTCTTACTGTTCCCAGGTGATTCCGGGAGCTGGGCCTCCCATCCCAGCAGCTCCCCAGTCCCCAAGGTTCCCTCAGGAATATCTCTGCTCCCAGCAATCCTGCACACCAGGCCCAGCCTCCCAGTTCATAAAGCCCTTTCACACCCATTCCTGGGTAGGATTACTCAACAGCAGGGAGCCAGGTGCAATATTTTACAGGCCTCAATTTAAGGGCCTTTTCCAAATGAGGTAATAAATGTTTTGGTTTGATTTTCCAGGAAAGCAAGGCCTAAGGCTAGAACTGGGAGATGGTCAGAAGTAGCAGAAAGGGATGTAGAGATAAACATGGGGAAAGAGGAATAAGGCCATACATGTTCATTTTAGAGCTGGTTCAACTGTGGGCAACTGGGGCTTAATCCCACTAGACCTCCCCTGAAAAACCTATAGAATACACCTCAGATTTGGCCATCTGAAGGACAGGGACCTTCTGCATTTATCCACCAATTCCACCCTTTTTGTCTAAGGATGGCCCCAGGGAAATTCATCCCCAGCCTCCTCTCATACATGTGGATGTAACAGGCAGTATTATCAAAAGATGACTACGATAGTATCTCCCCACTCACATTCTTATCTGCAAAATGAACTGATCGCTCCCCAACAGGAAGCGGAGTCTGTTCCCCTTGAATGTGGGCTGCCCCCATGACTGTTTCAGTCGATGGAATATGGCAGAAGTGACTCCTGTGATTTCTGAACCCATGTATTTTAGAAGGCGTGGCAGCTTCCACTCTGGGGCTCTGGCGGAAGCTAGCCGCAATGTAAGAAATCCAAGTACCTTGAGACTCACACTGTGAAGAAGCCCAAACTAGCCCATGGAGATGCCACATGGAGAGAGAATTGGCCCCACTGAGGCGCCATCTTGAACACTGCAGACCCAGCTGATGCCATACAGAGTGGAGCCCAGCCAGCCCGCAGATTGCAGAATCATGACCAAAAAAGAATGATTGCTTTCATAATCCTGAAAGTTTGGGAGTGGTTTATTACACAGCAATAGATAATTGGAACACTGGCTGAGCTTGCCTTGAGCTACGTGACCTTTGCCGGGCTTTGGAGAAAGCTTGGAGGTAGAAAGGTAGACACCTGGCACTTTGAGGTGGCACTACAGCAGTGGTGAAATGCCAAGTGGGCTGAGGGATTGGACTACCTGGCACAAATAGCATCTACTACCTGGAGACGAAAACTCTTTGGCCTTGAACACAATAATTGGCAGAACTAAGACCGAATGCCAGCAGGTCTTCTAACCCTTCACCCGGGGCTCTTTTCC